AGCCCGCTCACAGCACCATTGACATAATACAACATAAAGTGTTCACCTGCCCGCTCACAGCACCATTGACATAATACAACACAAAGTGTTCACCAGCCCGCTCACAGCACCATTGACATAATACAACATAAAGTGTTCACCTGCCCGCTCACAGCACCATTGACATAATACAACACAAAGTGTTCACCTGCCCGCTCACAGCACCACTGACATACAACATAAAGTGTTCACCAGCCCGCTCACAGCACCATTGGCATAATACAACATAAAGTGTTCACCAGCCCGCTCACAGCACCATTGACATAAAACATAAAGTGTTCACCTGCCCGCTCACAGCACCATTGACATACAACATAAAGTGTTCACCAGCCCGCTCACAGCACCATTGACATAATACAACATAAAGTGTTCACCAGCCCGCTCACAGCACAGCAAACTTTAATGTGGTTAGAGCCGGGTAGAAATACTCAACATAACAACAAATTATATCATAGGTGGCAAAATTCACAATTTCCTACCAACTGAAAAATGTTTAATGTGTCCCGCGCGCTCATAATATGACCTTATGCAGTTGCGAGTGCCGTAAAACACATACAAAAAAAAACACCCAAAAAACTCGAAAAAAACCAACATTAATGTAGTTAGATCATGGTAGAAATACCCAACATAAGAATAAATTATATCATAGGTGCCCGCACGCTCATAATATGACCTAATGCAGTTGCAAGCGCCGTAAAACACTTACCAAAGAAAAAACAACAACGAAAAAAACAACATTAATGTAGTTAGATCCGGGTAGAAATACTCAACATAAAAAAAAATGATATCATAGATGAAAGTTACCAAGAGGAACCACTCGAAACCCTGATGGAATCAGGATAACATACCAGGTACGCCTTATCGTTACAGGTCGCAGACAGTGCAGGTTTGTGTTGCGGCGTAGTTCACAACGGAAATAGATCCGGCAGTTGCAAAATATACATAAAAATGAAAAGATAATAAAATATAAAACACCCCGTTCTGTTTCTTTTGCTACAACAACAGGCTTCCAGGAACTCGCTGCAGGGTCTCACATTCTCTCTCTCTCTCTCTCTCTCTCTCTCTCTCTCT